CCCTTGAAGTCAAGCTAAATTTCTATCAGAACTCCCTCTCCAAAAAAATCCTGACTACATTTCTGCTGTGCAATCACTAATATCAACATCCTTTCCTTAAAATCATTAGAATATTGCTTTACTTACAGAAATTTTTGTTCCAGCTACGCCATTGATGCGATACATATGTTTGTGGAACTCAGGACCATGGCCATCACGGTCTCTGTTATTCGCCGTCACAAACAAGTAAGCATGAATCATTTCATGCTTTGGTTGAGAAAAGAATAAAATTACATTAGTTATCTAAAATAGTCATACAGGTATGCATGTGCATATTTGACTTGCATACTGTTGCCCTATGGCGCTCTCTCGCTCTTGCTCTTGCCCCCCCCCCCCTCTCTCTCTCTATGGCCTCACAACCTGAAGCTCTGCATAATTCCCAGGTTGAGTCACATCAGGTCAACAGCCTTGTCCTCACACTCTCACCAGCATTTGCTTCTTACTGCAGACAACTGACTAGCTCTCTCACTGGATCACAGGTTCCCCTTGTTCCCTGTTCAATTACATAGCCCTTGTGTACTTAAGCCACAGATTCCATAACCAAGATCAGCATGTCATGATCCTCCAGCCACACCACAGCAAGCATCAGCAACACAGGACTCCCCAGTCCTTAGCTGATTGGAGGGCCTACTGCCTCCCCCATAGATCTCTACTTCACCTTCAGCACCCAGCCTTACCAGTGTGAACTCACACCCACTACAAACACTCCCTAAAGAGATAAAGACCAGTTCAAATAGTAGATGCCTATAAAACTGTATTCATGAAAGAAATTATAAGTAACACCAAATTTCACTTCAAATCTTTTAAAAAGAAAACACAAAATTAAATAACATAAGAGATTAAAAACATAATAGTAACATATATATATACATTAAATGTTTAAATATCTTTCCCACTTCTGATGAATTAGTATAACAACAATATAAAAGTAAGTTCACCCTACCAACAATGTTTCAATCATGTCTTTTCGTGGCCTAAGCTTCAAGAGAGGGAGTGAGAGACGAATGGAGCAGAGACCACCTCGTCCTTCATAGCTGCACACACCTGCACACCTGAAATTATCAATAGTAGGGTTATCCTTTTAAACGAATGCACAGAGGGGGGGGTAGGGAGTTCAGAGAAGAAGAGTTAATCAAGCTGCCAACAGGCATGGTATCAATGTATATTGAATTCATATTACTCTTACACATGCATTGATCTTCAAATAAGCTTCATGTTTAGAACTATTTTAAACAGATATAATGCCAAATGTGAAAAACATCAAGAACAACAAAAAACACTTCTGTCAAGCACTTGCTTACAAGGTCATTCTAGGGCTCCACTTCACCTCCACTTGATACAACCGACCCCAAAAGAACTGCTTGTCAAATGTGAGAAAGAGTGTGTGGAGGTCAGGGTTTGGGTCAATCAGCTCCCATGAGGGGTCAACCAGAGACACGGACAGTTTCTCTTGAGGAGGCTCATCTAGGTCCCCAAAATTCTTACGTTTCATTTTACTGCTTGATCCTAGGAAGTGCAAAGTTGTTTGGGAATCAGATATATATAAATATATAAGTATGTATGTAAGCATGGATCTATAATGTATGTATGTATGTAAGCATGGATCTATCATGTATGTAAGTATCTCTATCTGTCTCTCTCTCTCACACACACACACACACACACCTCTCTCTCTCTCTCTCTCTCTCTTTCTCTCACACACACACACACACACACACCTCTCTCTCTCTCTCTCTCTCTCTCTCTCTCTCTCTCTCTCTCTCTTTCTCTCTCACACACACTCACACACACACACACACACACACACACACACACACACACACACACACACACACACACACACACACACACACACACACACCTCTCTCTCTCTCTCTCTCTCTCTCTCTCTCTCTCTCTCTCTCTCTCTCTCTCTCTCTCTCTCTCTCTCTCTCTCTCTCTCTCTCTCTCTTTCTCTCTCACACACACTCACACACACACACACACACACACACACACACACACACACACACACACACACACACACACACACACACACACACACACACACACACACACACTCAAGCACAGTCCTACTGGCTATGATACCACTAACTTAGTCACTGATATATAAGGGCATAACTTTAGAGTGATGTGATCAACAATCCCTCCTCTGAATGGATATTCTTTAGAATCATTGACCTTTCTTCTTTTTTGCCATATATATGAAAAAAGAGTAAGTAAGAGACATTAAATATGGAGACTACAAAAAAAATCCATACAAACATCTCAAACAGTACTTAGGGCTTTGGATTAATTGCACATACAGAAACATTAAGGTGGCTACTACCTGAGATGCTGGAGTTCACCTCCGACAAAGATTTCAAATGAGTTGCTTCTCGACTCTGGATACTTGCTCTAAGCTCTTCCTCAAACTGAGCCTGAAGCTGGAGTGCCAGGGTAAGGTCGATTTCTGCATTAG